GCCTCCCAAAGGCGCGGGATTACAGGCTGAGCCACCGAGCCCGGCTTATTATTATTTTTTATCTTTTATTTTTTTTGAGTCAAAGTCTCACTGTTGCCCAGGCTGGAGTGCAGTGGCACAATCATGGCTCACCACAGCCTCGACCTCTTGAGCTCAGGTGATCCTCCTGCCTCAGCCTCCCGAGTAGCTGGGACTACAGTGTGTGCCACCATGCCTGGCTAATTTTTAAATTTTTTTGTGGAGATGAGGTCTTGCTATGTTACCCAGGTTGGTCTCAAACTCCTGGGCTCAGCTGATCCTCCTGCCTCAGTCTCCCAAAATGCTGGGATTACAGGTTTAAGCCACCACTCACTATGGTTTTTTAAATATTCTAGTCCCTCAGACTCAGAAGTGGCAGCATTTCAAGAATGAGGACATATTTTTAGACTGAGAGCTTTGGGTTATGAGTCTGTGTACTCGGGGACAGCCCATTCCCAGGCTGTTGATTCCCGGAAGGAAACTGGCACGCTTCATAATTTTCTTTTCCAAGTTATGTAACACGTAACCTGGAATGTGAGAAGGGGCTGGGGACCAGGGAATCAGGGAAGCTGGTCTGGGGATGTTCCATCACATCCTCTGGGACCTTTTGGGACCCATGTGAAATACAGCTCAGGACTAGCCACCCAGGAGACAAAAGGGGGGTGCCTTTGTCTAGGGCTCCTACACTCCCATTGGTCAAGGGTGGCCGTGGTGTTAACTCCCACTGCCACGTGGGAGTGCCCAGAGGGGCTCTGTCATGTTGCACGCCACCATGTGGTCTGAGCAGTTCTAGGAGAGAAAGCAAGAGGGAGGTGGTGGTGGCTGGTGGTCCCTGTCACTTTGCTGCTGCACCGAACATCAAGGCCTGTGTAGATGGCAGCTGTGCAGAGACAGGAGTGAGCGGTGGGACAGAGGACTTGAAGGATGTGCCCTTCACGAGATGACCGGGTCTCATCGAACAGATTGAAGGTCACAGTCCCACCCTGGCAGGGACAGCCTCGCCTCTGGGTGAGAGCCCCAGGCTCGTCTCTGCTGTACACTCGTCTGTCCCCTTGACCTTCAGTCTCTCGCAACATCCCTTCTCTGGTCTCTGTGTCACTTTCTGGACATTAAGAGTGTTGGCAGGCTCAGGTCTGGGAACCAGTTCTCTGACTCTGCCCACTCCCTCTGACCAACTGGGCAGGCTGGCACCCAAACAGCCCTGGCTGTCGTGTCGTCCCTCGACCCTTGCCCTCTTGGGCCAATCTCAGAGGATTCTTAACATTTTCAAGAAAGAGGAGTCCTGGCCCTATTAACTAAACATGGTTTAGGCCACCCACCAGTGAGCAGGGGCGGCTGGTGGTCACTCCTCACATCTGTTCTCTGCTTTCTCTGACCTTGTCTGACCTTGACGGATGACATCACCTGGGCTCCTTCCTGTAGGACTTCCTGTTGGGCTCAGGTACTGGGAGGTACCAGGAAACTGTACGCAGCAGGAGAGAGGTGGGGACATCTCTCCCCTTCCCCCACCTCC